AGATAAGACTTTCAATGTTGTATTCAATGATTATGATAGGAAAATTTTTTTACCTTTAATTTAAAAAATTAAAAAAAATCCTCTTCTAAATTGTAACACTAACACATGGCCGAAAATCCGAGATTTAAGAATACATATTGTTCATGTGGCTTCTTCAATTCTATCTTGATTTATTTAAAAAAATATATGTATCTACTGCTGGAACATGCATTTTCGGTAAGATCAAATTTTTATATAAAAAATAAATGATTTACAGGGTAAATTAATATAATAAAAGCAAAAAATTAAAAAGATTTAACCATAAGTTTTTTTTATTTTTACATAATACTCAAAAAATAAATGACGATCAAATATATAATATATAACAAAAACAGATAAAATGCATTTATAAAAAATTGGTGATTTTCTTTTTTTCTTTATGTATTCCGATTTTCTATATTCCTTTAAAATATATTTAAATATAAATTATATTTTTATAAATTTACCTTAATCCAATGGTTGTCCTCGATAACCACTCTCCAAATATTGATGCATCTTATTATAATAACTTGAAAAGTCATAAGGAATAGTAAATTCATTAAGAATTGATGTTACATTATGAACGATTTCGTTTCTTGTATTTGGTCGGGGATTGATACCTATATATGTTTTTTAATACCCCAAAGAAATTTTTATTGGATTTAGTTGCGGCAAATAGGGTGGCAAATATTCTATTTGCTCTTTAAAACTATCAATGAGGTGGCTTTTATGGATCAATGCATTGTCCATAACAATAACTGCATCACTTGGTATGATATTAATTAGTTCTATCATATATTTTCGAAATAGCAGGCTATTATAAGCTCCCTCGATGATGCGATAAAGTATTATACCTTCGATTCCCATAGTACATAATATACTTAAATTTTTACCCTTAGATGGTGGGGCTTTAACAGTTGGAGTAACATTGTATGGTGCCCAGGCGTAAAGAGGTACAACATGTAAATTTATGCCTATCTCGTCTAAGAAAAATATTTTTTTCTCTGGCAATATTCAATATTTTTGTACAATAAATTTGTCGTATATTGATTGTGCCCGGTGCGTTCCTCCTATCAATATTTCTTTCCTGCACGTTTTTTGGACCATCCTATTTTTTTAAAATATATTTCCTTATAGTTCCTTCATTTCTAGGAAATCCTGGAGGTATATTTTCTATAATAACTTTAATAGTTAATGTATTGTTCGCCATTAAAAGTTCCATAATTTTTCTTTCTATATTGAATGTGTCTTTTTTTCTGCCTCGCTTTCCAATCACATAATCTTTCAAAGGGTCTCCGATGATTTCGGGAAATGTTTCGCGTCTTAATTTATCTAAATACTTAGCGATATCTTTCATTTTCATTTGCTCCTTCTCAGGTACAGATAAAAATTTTTTTGCTATATCTATTTTTTCATTATTCCAGTTTTTATATTTCCTTCTTGGAATTGCCGAGATTAAATTTGCTGGATCAATAATAGAATCACCACTTAGAGTGAGAATCGATAATATGGATATTATTTGTAGCAGATATATTAGGTAATAAATTAGAATAAATGAATTTGTATTATTTGTGTTACAATATAAAATTTGTCGTATATTAAACATTTGTGAATTAGAATAAAAAGAATAATGATTTGATGTAAATGAATTTGTATTATTTGTGTTACTATATAAAATTTGTCGTATATTAATATTAAACATTTGAAAAATAAACTGTATTTTAAAAAAAAAATTAAAGTTTATAAAAATTGTATATGCAAAAAAATTACATTAAAATTTTACCATATGTATTTTTGTAGTGTTTGTTTTGTTATATATTAATGAATCGTCATTTATTTTTTAAGTATTATGTAAAAATAAAGACACATATTGTTTCATTCTTTTAACTTTTTGTTTTCATTCTTTTAACTTTTTGTTTTTATTATAATAACTTACCCTGTAAAGTAAAATTTGTAATATTGATATGCATAGCGCATAAAATTATTTATCCGGCACAGCTTGGTACAATTTGATTGTTCTTTTTATATGTCCCAAAAGCAATTTATTTAAATATAGAAATATTTTTACACTATCATTCTACAAACAAATGAAGACATTGGGCGTCTTGTTTTCTTGCTAAATTTTTAAAAATATATTTTAAAACTTAAGTCAGACCCGTTTCGGTTAGATTGTTTATAAAGAAATAGATGTCTAATTTACTTATTTGCAATAGAATTGATATGTAAGATATTAATCAGGCATACCAACTATTGAGGAAAGAAATATTTATCAAAATTAATTACGCAAAAACATAAATAAAATATAAAATTTTATAGAAATGGAAGCAGGCTGAAGAATATCTCGAAAATAAATTTTAATAGATCATAATTTTCAATTGTCCGTTTAATTTATAATTATATTATTTTTATAAAATCGCTACGATATTTTAAATATTGAATGCCATAAATATGCCAATTATCGCAAAATTTTAGTATGAATTTTTTTCAACACAGATAATATCAAATTATAGGTTTAATCACCTTTAGAGTAAATTATCATGATATTGATACTAATTCATATCTTATATTCATAACAATGATAATATATGGAAAGGGAAATATATATAAACGATCTTAAATATCTACTAAAAGTGGAAGAAACCAAAAATATAAAAAAAAATTAGATTGGAGATTCTCCATAATTCGATGATTTTAAAAATAACCAAGAAATGTTATTAAATAAAATGAAAATAATATGTAAGGATTTTAATAACCTGAAAATAATGGTTGATAAAATAAATGAGATAATAAAAATAATATGCACCGAAAGAGCAAACAAGATCTGAAAACATGGAATGTGCCATAATAAGCAAATCTTAGGTCATTTTATCAAGAGTCCACCCAGCTCTATTGCCCAGATCTCCCCTGCTTTTTGTGGCCCATCCCATGTTTCCGTTTGATATACCCTTTCTGTGCGGATATTATATTTATCTCTAATTTATTTAACCGTTATTTTCAGCCTGACTTATTATTTTCATTTATTAACACTTCTTAATTATTATCTTACGATTTTACTGAATATTGGAATACAAGAATTTTAGCAATTTTTTATAGTTTATAATTAAAAAATAAATATACATTATAAATATATACTATTTTATAGATAAGCGTCAATGTATTTTTCCTGGAAATGTGTTATTTTTTCAACTGTAAATCAGTTTTTTAACGCGTTTTTTTCAAATTTAAAAGTCGGGTATTCCGGGATGTTGAGAATACCTATCATATGAATTAAATAATTTTGCCATTAACCTTTGGGTCATTTATATAAAAAATCTATGGAAAAACTAATATAAATTATATTAAGTTCAAAAGTATATAACGAAATTGTCTCGTATTTATAGGGTAGGAGGTATTCAAAACATGATACAAAACATTTCCGGTAAAATCAAAATTTTAATTTTAAAAAAAAGCGCGCAAAAAATGAATAAGACGCTAACACATATATATGCCTATTTGGATCTCTTGATTTTAAATCCTTTACCCATTCAAATAATTTTAAAATCCGATTTAACTTAAAATGTGTTCTAGCATGTGTAGGGTATTTACCCTATAAATTTCAGCCAATTTCAGCCATAGACATTTTAGTAATTTTTTTTTAATTTATATGAAAAATCCATATAAAAATTAATATAAATATGGTAAAATTGCTTGAAATTTACAGTTCGAATACTCTTTAATATGCTGAAATACAATTCCTATAAAATCAGATTTTTAAAATCCAAAAATCGTCTTTAGTGAGCGATTAAAATCCCGAATCCCCATACAACATATATAAATATATAATCTTAAGTTACATGACGTCAAATAAAATGGAACCTTTAAATCAACTTTATTTTTTTTTACAAAAACAAGTGAACGAAAAAAACTCAAAATAAAATAATTTATAAAACAAATCTAAAAATTCATATAAAAAAATTTTTCGAAAAAAATAAAATATTACAAAATAATTTTTAAAATACAAAAATTTGGTAAAAATTGAAATTGTTAATTCAATCGAGGCTTAAAATATTTTTTTAAAAAAAAATTACAAAATATATAATTTGCGAATTGTAAAAATATATATATATTTATAAATCAAACTTCATATTCATATTTATTATTTAGTAAAGTGTTAGTCAATATAGCATAGTTAAGTTATACCCTTTTTGAAAAGTACAATAATATCAAATCTTTCTCATCTCATTTTATTTTAACAAAATTGTTTAAAACGAATAAACATGGCAAAAAAAATATTAAATTAGGATTAAAATATCGTAATTATAAATGTTTTTAAAATTATGAAAAAAAGCCTAAAAAATTATCCATCTTTTTATACCAAGAAACCCAATAAGTTTGTGGGGCGTTTCCTTTCAAATGTGAATGATATTTTTTGATTTATTTTTGCTGTTTTTTTTATAAACATAAGTTATTGTGATAAAATTGGCGCTAAAAATCAAGATGCAATTTTGTAAATAGTATATAAATGTGACATATATTTATATATAAAACTTTTTTTGTATGGTTAGTATAATGTAAAAAAACAAAAAAAGAATGCAATTTTGGGTTAAAAAACAATTTAAAATATTTTTGAGCCATTAGAATGGATATAGTGATAAACTTGTTTAGTGGAATGGAAAACTCACTATATTTTTGGCAAATTAAAAAGTTATGATTTGTTTTTTAAAAAAAAACTTCAGAAAATGTATAATAATCATTTTGAGCCCATTCTCGGCATTTTAGGAATCGTTCTGTGCCATAAAATTTATAAGTAGGAATAAAATATCGTTTAAAATTGGCCAAAAAATTTCTCCAATTTACACAATTATTTTAAATTAATTTTTTTTTTAAAATAGCCAAAAATTAAATTTTTTTAAAAAGTATAATATAATCATAATTTAATTTAAATAAATTTGGGATAAAAAATAAATAAATATACATTTTATATATATTTATAATAATTAACTAAAAAAAAGAAATGGCAAAAAAATTCGAACGTGTAGGTGATACAAAATGATATGAAAACGGTTGGTAAAGAATTGGTATTTTCATATCATCATCATGTTTATGCTGTTTTCCTCTGTAAAATATGAGTAAATAAAGACATTAGTTATAAATAATAATTTCAGAGATTGGCTGTTAGAGAATTAACCTTGAAAAAAACCCAAATTATTTCTATGCCTCTTAAAAAGATTAAATAAATATATTTAGTAGCTAAACTCTTAATAATAAGTCTATGTTAAAAAAGGCTCGTTTTGACGGCTAACTCGATATTTTAGCCAGAAAAATATCGCCTTATTCTCGGGATTTAGATAATATATGTCTAGATCCTTGCGTCTTCTGTAAACAAAATCTTCAGGCTTGCGTAGTATTTTTTTCTGGATAAAATATCGAGTTAGCCATTTCTAAGAATCGGCTCAAAAACGAGCCGTTTAACAACCACAAAGTCTACAATTCGATAACAAACGTGATAAAGATTATTACCCTTTTTATTGTTCCGCATCAGGGGTTTATGAGTGTTCGAAAGAATGCAAGAATTGTTGGACTCGTGTTGATAATACCAGCATCTCTCGCAGAAATATTTGAAGCACACCATGTCCCTGCAAAAGTAAATGCCGGCCCTAACTTTACAAACATTGCAAAATGCGTCTTCGAGGTAAGGATCTATTTGAACCTGAAAATATTGGATAAAATACTGAGTTAGCCGCTTTTAAGACTCAAATGGAGTTATGTAGCATCAATACAACTGTCCAACAAAAAAAACTTAAGACAATTGTGGTAAGGCTGGATTCATAGTGGCATCCGATCGATCGATTTCTAAGGATAATCTATTTTAATAAATAAAAATATTTATCTCAATCAAAAGATTTTCATGCTCGCTCAGCTGTTAAATCCTGTCAGATCAGATTCATCCCGCTATGAATCCAGCCAAAATTCGCTTTTAAAATTGATAACAAAATGTCAGTATATATATAAATCGTACCCTTTTGACAAACTTGGGAGTCTTGATTTCCACGAATGCGGCGGATACCGCTTTCATATAACTCTTATGGTTATTGAAGGTAACCCTTCCTGATCCTGTCAAATTTATATATATAAATTGACATTTCATTTAACTAATAACAACAACCCCTACGAATAAATTTATAATATTGTATAGATCATTCAATAAAAAATAACTATCTCCTCCCAGTTGCATTAAATAATTTCGTTAATTATAGTAGAGACGTGCAAATCATGGCCCGGCTCGTAACCCGTCCATTTGAGCTAGGACTGTTTTAAATTCTTGCAAGAAACAAGCGGTTAATATTTTCTATTCGTATATAGAATATTTTCTTTTTTTTTACTATATTTAAATAAATTCGGGCCGGGGCAGAACGGACAAATAGCATTTACAATAATAAAGAAAAATAATTTATTTGGTCTAACAATCTATTTTTATTTCGGGGGGGGTCTGGCTTTTCGGGAAAAAAAAATTTGGGGATAGGGCCCGGCTTGAAAAATTAGGCCCGATTGCAGATCACCAAATTATAGCAGGCTCGAGTTAATGGGGCACAAAATTACGATTGAACCAAGAGGGATAAATAACAATCAAAATATACCGATGGGATATTTGAACTTATCTGTATCCACCCCCGCGTAAACGACTCCCCCAAACAAATCGTTCATAACGCACGCTAAGCCCTCGGCATTCAGCAAACCATGTAAGGCCCCCACAAATACCGTCTTGCACGGATCCAATCTCTGGGAAGGTTGCCTAATAAAATTGGTGTCACTTATAACCCACGGTATAGCTTGAACCTGTTTTAGGGCAAATTTTTTGCAAAAGAAAAATTTGGAGACATAATTTGAAAAAAATATTGTGTAGAAATATAACACGGGGGCTCAAAAAAACTTTTTAATATTTTAAAAATTACCTTTTTTTATTTTAGCTAACATTATACTAATTTATTCTTTATTGAGTGTTATATATAAAAAAACCTAATTTTTTTAGGGGGGGGGGGGGTTTAAATTAGGGGGCTCGAGTTTCTGTGTCTCTTCCCACCTCCATAGTGATGTTACTGAAATATATCATAAAAATAAAATCTAGAATTTTCTAATACTTCTTTGCATCTCATTCTCTTGCTCGAAATTTTGTAATACCAATCGCCACCGTTAGAAAAGTCGTGCGTGCAGGATTGCAAAAGGGCCTTTACCGATTTTTCCGATTCGAATATTATGTAGACGTATCCTGAAAGTTGATGATTGAATTATCGTTATATAAAATTTTCCGAACGTATTTACTAAACGAATCAAAATTTATAGGAAAAAAAGGGGTAAACCTTTGGGTGGGTATCGAGGATGCAAAGTTTCCTTGCCGGGCCATTCTATCCTCAAGTTTCCAAAAGGTTTGAAAGCGTTTATCAGACCGGGTTCCGTTATATCCCACGGAACACCTCCCAAAAATATTTTCGTCGAATAAACTGGATTTCTGTAGACCCTAGGAGGTAATTGTCCACTCCAAGTATAGGTTGCGTCACAAATAGCTTTAAAAAAGAAACAATTTACTCAATAAAAACCAAAAATAAAAATTCCAATTTTTAATAAGAGGCCGTTTCGGTGAGCATCTCTACTCAAGTTTTTGACCATTCTAACTGACCTATCAAAGTGATCGGACTAAGCCGTCAATCAAGTTAGGTTTTTTATTATAAAATAGTATGGTCGCAACTTACATGCCGCGTTTTTATACAACTTGGCTATCCGTTCAACGCAATAGTTATCAGATCCGCAATCGTCTATAACCACGTTATCGCTAGCGCTGTTTTGATTTTGAACGAAATTAGGGTTGTAAGGATTGCCGTCTAAATGATTGCCATTGGATAATTGCATATCGTTGCCCCCGTTGTTTGCGGAATTATAATCGTAGAGCAAAGAGTTGAGCAAAGTCATCCTTTTGTCCTGGGAGTTTTCGGTATACATGCTCGCCAAATTTTCGTTATTACTTCGGGAGTTATAGGTCGTCGTTGTAATGTTGTAATTGTTGTAGTTATTCTGTTTTTTTACTTTGTTGCATTCGAAACTGCTGTTACCACTCAGGGAAGACCAATTGGAAAAGGATGAAGATTTCATGGATAAATTTTTCTTACGTTTGTTGTATTACAATTTAAATAAAGAATAATTGAGAGATAATTTATATTGGTTTAAAAAAAAAAAAAATATTTAATTTTCGATATGAAGATTTACCAATATCGCGCAGAGCTCGGTGTCCGACGCGAAGGAGCTTCCATTACTCAAAAAACTTTCTTCTTCTTGATTCCCTTCGAAGTCGTTATTTTTAGCGCACTTGTCCGAGATTGGAGAAGAAATTATTATGCTATCGATTTTGGAATTTTTGTCCTGACATTGGTTATTCGTAACGCAGGTTTTCGAACCATTCTCATCGTTATCATTCTTTGGCGCGCTTAAAAGACACGTACCGTTGTCGCCACTAACGCATTGAAGCTTGAGCAGGTCTTTCAAGAAATTTATTTTGCTCGCGCGATCTTCGTTAGAAATATCCGGATTATCTAAACGCGATTTGAAGCTATCGAAATCGCCGGTAATTTTATGTTTCATGGACGCTATTGGCGAGGTATGGTTAGAGTTCATTCCCAATATGGGTCTTTTGTAACTCACCTTATTGGGGTACGATTGCGTTTTGTTTACGCCATCATTATAGCTCAAAGTTTCGGAGTGAGGATAACTGGCAGCCGTCAGCAAGGACTTTAAAATTTCTTGCGTTATCAAAGTGTTGTTATCGTACGAGTTGTAATCGAGATTTGGGTAATGAGATGAGGATGACAGATTTTTGCCAGTCCCGTTAAAATCATCCCGAGAATTAAATCGACTTGGATCAATTGACGATTCAATTTTGTTCAAAAGGGAGGGAAACAAATTGTTGTGAATGGATTGCAAAAATTTTTCGGGATTCTTTTGATGGACGTGATTACCGTTCAGGGTTTGGCTCGGAGGATTTTCGCAAAAATTGGATGACATTTGGTTCAACAGCGTCAAATCTTTGGTGATGATTGTGCAATTTTAATATAAACATGAATATAGCTTATATAGAAAGAGAGATTGAAAGAAAGAAAGAAAGAAAGAAAGAAAGAAAGAAAGAAAGAAAGAAAGAAAGAAAGAAAGAAAGAAAGAAAGAAAGAAAGAAAGAAAGAAAGAAAGAAAGAAAGAAAGAAAGAAAGAAAGAAAGAAAGAAAGAAAGAAAGAAAGAAAGAAAGAAAGAGAGAAAGAAAGAAAGAAAGGAAAAGACTTAACTAATTACCGTGAAGGTTATTAAATAATGCGTGATTTAAAAAGTAGTTGTTCTCCTTCTTGTAATCCTCGCCCCCGCTCTCTCTTTCAGCGCCCATAATTTTTTCTTTCAAAGTCATTTCTTTTTTGCTTACTTCCGCCCTGACGTCAGGTACGGAGGGCGTTAAAGTAGAATTGGATCTAAATTTGCTAGTAGGATCTAAAACAAGATAATAAAAAAAATTGGTAAAATTAAATGAAAATTGGATAAGGGTGTCGCGTAAAATCTCACCATATTCCCTATTGTTTTTGACATCTAAGCCACTGCCGGACACCCCATACGATGATTGAGAGGAATCAGCCAACATTTTATTGATTCGTTCCAATATTTGTGAGTTGGGCATGAGGTTAGACTGGCTACTCAAATCGTCTAGCGATTGAGAATGAGTTTGAAAGTTGCAGTTCATCTTCTTGAGATTATCAAGTTTTACGTCGCAAGACGACTCGGACTTTATTTTTGATAATTTTTTTTAAATTCATATAAATTGGATAGGTTTCAAATCGCTAAAAATTGAAAATCCCTCTTGTATCTCCTAGAAAATTTTTAAAGCGCATTTGAAAATTTTTATTAAGAAGATGATAAGGAAGTAAACACTTTTATTGAGTTATTTTTTAAAAAATCGTGAAAAATGGAGGAAATATCATTAATCATCCCAGGCAATTCAAATACAAGCGTTCACATCCGTGGCATGTATAATTTTCTAGGAGGCGAGATCCCCAATTTAGCAATGATAATGAATGAATAGTTATAATTACTTACCATTACTAATTAGGCGGTACTACAAGTCGAATAATTTTTAAGATATTTTTTCTACAAACGTTATGTTGGGAAAGGCTCCTGTTTTCAAGGAATAATGGTTATTATAGTAATTTTGAGATTAATTATATTTAAATAAAATGTAAATATATTAACTTAATAATTTTAAATTATTTAAAGTTATAATGTCTTTTCTTTATAATCTTTTTTTAAATTCCGAAAAAGAATTTATAAGCTAATGAAAAAAAATTATTTTTTGTTAATGATAAAAAAAAAATATATAGTTTTAAAATTGAATATTCAAATTTTTCTTTTAAAAGTGTTAAACTAAATTATTTTTTTCAATACGCAAAGCATTAGATTTGATAAAAATAAAATCTATTTACTAAACTTAAAATAACGTTTTGTTAAATGCTTGCTTTAAGGTTTTAAAATGATTATTTTGCTAAATTGCTTGTTTTCAAAACTATTTTAATTTAAAACACAAAATCTTTAAATTTTCCGTTAATTAAGTTAATAGAATATATATATTTAAAATCTTTTAAAAGAAAAAGACTTAAAGGGGCGGGCGTATAAGTTAGCAGGCGATAAAATAAAATGGAAAAGATATAAAAAAAACGACATATTAAATATTTTTATTGGCCTCCATTACCTTTCTAAAGGAATATAGACATTTTACAGGAAATATTGACGAGATTAGAATTTTCCTAAAGTTTAATATGTATATATTATTATTAAAAATGTAAAAATATTTAATTTTTTTTTAAAAAAATTGATAAAAATGTTTTAAAAATATAAATTTAAAATTGCTACTACATAATATAGATAACGATCAGACCCGGGTTACTACTTAACAATGTTCTAAAATATTTTACATTTTTTTTAAAAAAAAATTACGTTCTAGATTTTGTTTTATTTACTCGTTTTTTAGGATTATTTTTGATATTTTTGTAACAAAACGACATTAAAACAATGTCTTTTTGCGCCCAATTTTAAAAGTTGTACAAATCGTTTATAATCATTAATAAAATATTTTCGTTTTAACATTAAATTATTTCGGCTGTTAGTCCTGTTGTAGTATATATATATCTATGATGAAGAGTCTAACAAATATAAAGAAATTTGATTTAAATTGATAAAAAAAGATGATATAAATAGAGGGGTTAAAAAAAATCGGTTGACAATAATCGACGATTTAAACTATCATACTATATGTTATAAATATTCCTTAATTCATATGTTAATACTAATACTATACATGATGACTATATATTACAATTTTGGATTAAATAAAGCATAACTAATTAATTTTTATTTTAAACTATAACAATTAAATCCAACACTTGTTTCCAAACGAAAACTATGGTAATTGAATTTTATTTTGTCGCAGGAACCAAACTGTCCCCAACTTCTTAGCCCCTGGGTCTCCTCAATGTAAAATTTATGAATCCAATAATAACACAATGCTTTATCAATAATAACAAAAAAAATGGTTATACCGGGTTACCTTTATAGCTTAAGCTTAAACATCGTAGATTTTTTTTTTAAAGTGTCACAAAAATTTATAAGCAAATTTTTAAAAATCTTTTTCTTGAATAGACAAAATTATTCTGGTAGAAAAAGTGAATATATATGTGGTGAATTAATCTATAATAAGGACTATTCCTGAATCATCCATCGGCGATTGGGATTCTCTCAATTTTTAACCAATTAGAAAGGGTAATTTTTTGATTTTAAAAAATTCTGATTTTACTGAGTTAAGAAGTATATATTTTAGATTTATTTTCCAATCTAGTCAATATACTATCTTTGGAAGGTGTAAATGTGTTCTAATGATTGTAGGATGTTTGCTAAAGAATGCACTGAGTGTTGCATGATTGTTGGGTGCAAAATTATTATTTGATGATAAAATTAATGGACTCCATAATTCACACCATGAAATTTTTTGAGATTTTGCTTTGTATGTGTCTATAGGGGAGCTGAATTGTGTGATATCTGATTGGGTTGAAATTACCGGATGAGAATCTATGCCACAATTTTACCTTTAATGCATGCAGATAGATGGCCTACTTTGATAGTTTGGTAAATATGAAAGGGTATAAATATTTTTCCAATTATCTAAAGGGTTTAGGGTATTATTTACAATGTTGACATGGTTTGACAAGAATTTTCCAAATTTAATCCTCACCCCTCTATTCTGGATATTATTGGGTGAGTTTTTTTAATATTAAAAATAATTCCGACTTATGATGTTTGTGGGGCAATTTTGTCAAAGCTTTGGACAGATGAATCTGTTTCTGTTAGGCAAAATTTCTATATTTTAAAATGATAGGAAAAGAATTACTTTAAATATATATAGGTTATATAAAGTTGACGAGATTTGATTGGCAATATAGAATTGTGATAAGAATGGGAAAATTTAGAAGATAAAATTAACTTAGAGTTATAATAATCGGTGTTAAAATTATGAATCAGTTAATGAGCTTGGAAATTTGTCATTTAAGGTTATTAATTGAAATTATTCATGGGTTTATAATCATACACACTATAAAAGTTATAGGACATCAAAGGCTGAATTTTGGTAAAAATATGTTATAACTTTGTAATAAGAATTCTTTTGTATTTAACTCAAATTTTAGAGAATTATTTAATTTTCTTAGAGAAGAGGGGTGAGATATTAACAAACCCCCACCCCAATTCCCTACTTCTATATAGCAGTTAATACTTTAATGATATTAAAACAATTGGTCTTTAATCTCAGCGAACTAATTAGGAAAAGATATGGACCCAAGAATATTTAAAAAGGATAAAGCTCATAAATTAAGTTTATAATATTCCACTAAACATATCATTTAATTTATTCATGGATTTTAGTAGAGTTGTTAAAAGATACTTTTTAAATGGATCTAGATACAGATACAACGTCTAAAATAATATCTAGATACAGATTATTTAATCAAAAATCTATCTAGATACAGATACCACATTTTTATATCTAGATACTTGTATCTAGATCCTTTAACAACTCTGGATTTTAGTAATATTTAATTGATTCCCAGCACAAATTTTTTTTATATATTTTCATAGAAGTAATCTCAAACCAAGCCATCAAAGAGTTTTTTTTAAATCGATAAATCTCTACGATGCAAATAATCTTTCATTTCTTTTGACAAGAATTAAAATAATATCAATCTCCAAACTTCGCAAAGGACTGGCTTCAAAGATTCTGTTCGTGAAAACAATTTTCAGAGCCAAAAAAATGTTATTCGAGACACCAGCTAAAAAAAAATTATTCAGTTTCTTACTACTTCCGTTACCCCAAAGCTAATTAGAAGATTTCCTTACTAGGAGCTTTTGAAATATTTCGGCCCTGTTCAATCTTAAAATGTAAGAAACTGACACAATCTGACGAACTATCGCATCTCACTGCAAAGGTCACTGATCTAAATACCTACTCAGAAGATAACATTCATTTTTTGATAAAATATATAAAGGCCGACGATAAATTTATAATGGCCGACTTCAACCTAGGGATGTGAACCCTTCTACAAAAATCATGTTCAGGGTTCAGTAATAAAATTTAAAAAAAGGATTCGAGTTAATATTAAAAAAATTAATTTATAATTTAAATGTATTCATTTAATCGCACAATGGAAATATAAAAAACCGGAAAATATTGAAAAATGCGAAGGAACCAAATGATTCCACGAAAAAAATTTTTTTAAATGTATTTTTCATGAATTTAAAAACACATAGAATCCTTTACTTTTAAAAATGGTATGAGTTTGGGTTCAGGGGCTCCGGGTCCACCCCCCCTCCCTGCTTTAACCAAGCTTTAATGGACTTGACCTATCATAACAACATGGACACTTATTTAAATGATGTGACTTATGTCAAATTAACTGATGCAATCCTTACACCATTTCTTTTAAACACCCTAGTAGAAATTTAGGATATTTTTTTTTTTAATTAATTTGTTAAAACATAAATTTATTGAATTCATATTCTTCCATTCACATATAACTCCTTGAATTTTTACAATAGAAATCTCACCAATAACCTGAACTGAACATATACAATGCCACAATGTATGGTGTAGAGACAAAAGAGATTATTAGTCCAATTTAAAGAAAGAAATAAAAAGATGGACCAGCCATGGCCTATTTTTTTAGCACCCCGGCCCGAATATAAAAAAATAATCCTTTATCAAAACAATATGATAAAATTTCTTTATGATTAGAAAGCGATCAGTAATTTTCATTTAGCCTTTAAAAGTAGTGCTGTAAACATTTTAAAAAAATCGAACGCGTTCGCGTTCAACGTTCATTGACAAAAATCGAACGCGTTCACGTTCACATTCAAAAAAAGGAACGCGTTCAAGTTCATGAACGCGTTCATGCGTTCAAAATTTTATGATAAACTTTTTTTTAAATTTAATTTAATATAAATAAATGCCTTATATTTTTCAAGCCAATATATTAGCCATGATAAAAAATTATAGTTTTATTTTGATAATATAATTATAAATACAATATAATAGAGCGATAAAAAAATAAATTTATAAAAAATTTTTCTTATTAATTTTTAATAATAATTGCTTTTCAAAATTTTCATCTGATAGGCATGAACGTTGGCACTTAATACAGCGTTAGCTATACTAAAAACTCGCTCAACAGGGGCAGATGAAGTGATTGCGGTGTTATACTTGATAAACAATTCTTTTAAAAGGGGGAATTTATTAAAAACATTTAATGTTTTATCCATTGTCTCAAAAAATTGAGCTATGTTATCATCCTCCAATCTGCCCTCTTCTTCCTCGTCAAAAAAAAGGATATCTCGGAATTGATTTTAAAACAGTGAAATATTTTTGATAGGGCCATGGTAATTCTAATTCATCTAATATTGAATTTTTATTTTCAGAATCTGATGATGAAATATTTATATCCTTGCAAATCCTAATCTATAAAATTAAAATATTCAAATTAATAAACTTTAATCTTATCTTCTCAAGCAGTAGCACGTTATGGTACGTTAATTGCAATATGAAAGAGGAAAAAGTAAAAACAGCTGATTAAAAAATATAAGACTTTTTTGTTAAAAAATTGGATTAAATATTAATTTTTCAAATAAATAAAAATATAAGAGTTTTTTGTTAAAAAATGCGGATTAATATTAATTTTTCAAATAAATAAAAATAAAAAGTGTTTTTAAAATTGAACGAACGTAAAATTGAACGCGTTCATCAAAGAAAAGGAACGCGTTCACGTTCAAAGTTCATCAAAAAAAGGAACGCCGTTCATCACCTTTTTTCAAAAAAACGAACTTCGTTCACGAACGCGTTCATTTTGAACGCGTTCGTTTACAACACTATTTAAAAGCATGCGCTTAATTATTCTTAAAAATTTCGGGACTTACTTTACTCTAAAATTAAGATAAAATTTGCAGTAGAAAAACTTCCATAATCCATTATTTTTCAGATCAATATTACTCTTGTAAAAATAAAACAAAAACTCTCTCTTAGGTATCCAATCAAGTAAATATATCCTCAAAATTTAAAATTACAATATATATTCCGTGTTTCCAATTATATTATAATACAGGCTATTTTGCTTGGAATGCCACTTGGAAAGTTAAATTCTTTGGAAGATTCGATAACCTAACCCAATACACTCAATAAATCATACAGCTAATTAACAATAATTTGATAAGAAAACAATGGCCATAAAAAAAGACTTGCCTCCATTTTGAAAGGGAAAAATTTTTTAATTAGTCCCATACTTATAATATCATTCCGTGTTTTATTTTGGAAAGATGCCAACTCATATTTCTTGTCCTCATTATCAGGAAACGAATATTTTTTTCCACCATTATATTCCTATACATGGCCGCCCAAAACGTGACAGGTGTGAGAGATCTAACATCTATACGATCGTGTATCTTCAAGGAAATCAAAAATGAATGTAACAATCTTACAATTATAACTTTCTATTCATTAATAAAATATGTTTTTTTTCTCTAAAGTATATCTATCTGTAAGCCTTAATCTTGATTGGAATAAATAAAATTACATATCAAAGAAATTTTATATATTATTTTTTTTAATTATTGATTGAATGTCCATTCATAAATTACAATCAGTCGAAATAGAAATTGTACAAGTGTTTATTAAACTCCCAAATTATTTAATTGAGTATCGTGATGCAACCTCAATAGTTCGATTGTTTTCCTGACGTTTTTAAGCGCGCTAACTTCGGTCCGATGACACACTAGAGCCATCCAAAGGCAAAAACATATAAACGAGTAAACATTCATGCGCAGAAAGACTATCGACACTGAAAAGGTTAGGGATGAAAGGAATGGTGAGAGCACAATTTTTAGACAGCTTTCGTATAGAAACAGGACAAACAAAAGGACGGATAATGCGAAGGATAATATTTTATACACCCTAGATTCTTTGTTGCCATCTACCAATGCTTTTTCGAGAATCAAATCGACGGTCGGTAAATAGATAGCATCTTTGCATAGTGGGAATGTTCTTTCTTGAGAATCGTTGCATCGGATTTTATCTATGTATACATTTGCGAGGAAAAAAAGATATTGTTTTGATTATATTAAAAAAATAGAATAGACCAATTAACGTCTAAATTTTATTATATTTGGCCCGGACCATGCAAAAAAAATAGGTGGGTCGGTTTAATTGGTATAGGTAACAGTAGTATTAAATTTGTAAAATAATAATATAAATAAGGAATTTTTTTATATTCCTAATGAAAAAAAATCAATTTTATAAAGGGGGTGTATGCAAAAAAATGGGTCTTATAATTAGCGGCAAGACCATAAAAGGTGGAGATAAAACTTCGATGATGAAGAAGATATATAATATTACCCTCCCCATCAAATTTTTAAACAATACATCACTTGATAATAACGTAAAAATATAACACAGTATAGAGAACTATTTCAATATTTATAAATGATTCAGGAGGGTAGTGTTGCAAAATCACCGGCTAAACCAATATTTTATCCAGAAAAATATTAAGCAAGCCTGAATATTTTGCCAATAGCTGGTCTGTTAGCTAAATCTCGAGGTTGAGGTATTATTTTTCTGGCTATTAAAATAATGAGTTAGCTGTTTTTATCGGTTCAAATGAAGCAGTTTTACATCACTATAGAAGAGCATGTCAATTTGAAAATATAACATATATTTATTTGTTCACAAACCATGAAACTCTCGCCAAAAATGATTCCATAATAAACAAATTTTTATATATGTGCAATGAATCATAATATAGTATTCAACCTTTATTTCTGGCCAAAGAAAAATGAACAAGAACACCTTCGTGATCAGACAAACTCATGCATTCTATTTTATTGTGTTGATAATTAACTTTATCAGAAAATATTCGATATCTGTGACAATCTATTTTCACACCTATTGTAAGGTAAAAAAAAAGAAGAAAGAACATACTAATTACATGCTAATAATAAAAAAACATGTAAATTTAAAGTAATATCATTTAAGCATTTACTTTGATTGACAACTCCAAACAAAATATAATCCAATCGTTGCCCGGAGCAGGGTACATTATGAAAATTATTTATGTCACATTTATGAGCTTTCATAAAATCCCAACATTGACTCATTTTAGCACTAATTATGTTAGTAAATGATTGAGAAACTGTAAATGAGTTAGAAGGATTAGAAAATGTCCAAGAATCTTTAGGTTCTAATGAATTTATTAATGAAACATTATCCTCAATGTTTTCATCTGAATTTAATGTTTCTGGAAATTCAAAATTATCATTTTTAATTATATTGTGAGGTGGAAGTTTTCCCATATTTTTTCTTTGAATTAAACCATTATCAATATAAGTCCCTTTATATTTTTCATTTTCATCCTTGCACAAATAATCTTCACATTCACAATTGATAATGGAATTATTAAAATATGATTGCCATGAATCACTTAGTCCAGTGTATGTTAATAAAAGTTTGATTGGTAACTCATTAGGTGAACAGTTCAAGTCCCCAGCTAATATAATTGCATCATGCTTTGAATTAGATGTTAGAGTTATAAAATTAGCTAATTCAAACAATTGGCATAATCTATGTACAGCATAAATATCATCCGTTTTTGAGTAATGGTCAAAATAATTCAATGGGTCATCATTATAATTTTTTAGAACAATATTCTCAGCTAAGCTATTTGAGGTAGTATATTTAGCTATGGTCTGAATAATATATTGAAAGGTTATTAATATAATTACCTATAAATTTATTTTAATAGTTTTCAATATATAAGCATAAATATTTAATAAAAAATGTAAAATTTATTTTAGCAAAAGCTTTTCTTTGATCAGAAAAGACCATTTAAACTTATTGATTTAAATGAAATTTAAAACATACTAACATGAGTTAGATAAAAATGGATTATGAATGAATCAAACTGGAGAATACTCAGAGTTGCACATTTTCCCCCAAACCAGTCCCCATGCCAAATTTTGTGAGGTTTGCCATTTAAACTATATTGGTGAATTATAGTATTCAATATAGGGCCTTTAGATAATATACAAAGGCCACTTCCTATAACACCACTATATAATATTACTAAATTTAGATGAAAAGAAAATTAATTATTAAATTACGTATAAAAATAATGTGAATAGGGTAAGACTGACTTTGAATACATACATAAACATGTGTAATCCTCTTCAGACCAAACCTTTAAATACAAGATAAAAATAAGGATTATTAATTTATTACTTCTTGCAAAGCAACAATATCATATTTTCCTGTGCTAATCTCTTTTGCCAAAGCTAATATCCTTTCTTTCCTAAATAAACTAAGAAATGGTATACCCCTAAATCAATTAATTGATATACATCACATAGATATTAATAATACCAACAATTCTGAGATAAAACTCTAATATTTGTACTATCCATTCTAAAGAGTCGTCTGCAAATTAAATATTTTAAAAACTCAAATGAATTATGTGACATTCAAATTTTATGACAGTGAATGATAATTTATCAGTTGATATAGACATGAAAATGTCATAGTAAACTTTTCCAAAACATATTACAGATTATAGAGCAAAACTAAGAGGGGGCATTTAAAACCCATCTTTTACATCAAATCTTTTGGCCTAAAATGAGACATTGTAGATTTTATGTTTTACTGTTATTTTCATAAACTATATGTGAATTTTTAAAATAATAAATATATATTACAAATATTATAGGGTAAGATTTTATATTTATAACAAAAATTTTTTTTAAAAAAAGTGTGTTTTATTTTTGCATATTACTTACAAAATAAATAGCACAACATTAAAGAAATACGTGTGTTAATTTTACCGTCCATTTTTTTGCATTTACAGTTTTATAAAATACCATTTAATATTTTTTTAAAGTGTTTATATCATGAAAATTTTTATCTAATAACACTAAAAATACATTAATTTTTATCAATTCCTGATTACTTTTTATTTACAAAGAAGGAAATATAAAAACTGGAATAAGAAAAAAATAGATATGGCGAGAAAAATTATTGTCAGTACTCTAGAGAGAGTAGATAAAAATGAAAGATATCCCAAAGTATATGTCTTTATCGTCTATAAATAAATTAAGACTCGAAACTTTTCCCGAAATCATAGGAGATTCATTGAAAGATTATGTAATTGGAAAGATAGATGAAATAATGACACCTTCAATAGAGAAATAAAAATAATGAATCTTTTAATGACTAATCATTCCTTTACAATTTATGATATTATGGATAGTTTTCCTTCTGAATTTCCTAAAAATGAAGAAATTATAAGAAAATATATTTAAATAAGTTGGTCCAAAAAAAGTGCAGGAAAGGAACCTGATAGGAGAAACACAGGTGGTTGCTATCAATATACGTTAAATTACTTGTATAAAAGAATATAGCCAAAGAAAAAATAATTTTCTCAAACGAGACAGGCATAAATTTACATGTTATAAGTTGGACCCTAGGCACCATATTACTTTACGCCAAAAGTAAAGATCCCATTATCCAAATAAAAATATTATATATAATGCACTTTTGAAATCGAAGGTTTATATTTTATCGTAATTTGGAAGGACCGTATAGTGGTTATTATTTCTTGATTATATCAAAAAAATTATTAATATCCTACCAAGTAATGGCTGTTATTAATATAGATAATGTTTCAAACCATAAAAGCCATCTCATTAATAGCTTTAAAGAGAGAATAAATATTGACCATCCTATTCGTCACAGCTCAACCCAATAAAAAATTCTTCTAAAAAACAAATATAGGTCAATTAATCTCCGACCAAATACAAAAATATTCTTAATGAATTTAATATTTCTTATGACTTTTAAATTATTATAATAAGATGCATCAATATTTAGAGATTAATTATTCTCAAGAATTGTTTGAAATTTAATTTTATTGAAGGAAAGATATTTAAACATTCAAAGATTAGATAAGTCTGATGCTAAATAATTTCATTTTCATTAAAAAAAATTACGTTTGTACAAATCGAATTAATCATTATTATTTTATTAAGTATTTTACTGTAAAAATATTAATTAAAAAAGAATGAATTTTTAAAACAAAATCAATCAAAAAAAAATTATTATGCTATTACATTATTTTTCGCATGATTGGTTAATTGCATTTAATTTTTAATTAGCAGTTCATTTATATATATTGTTTTTAACCATTCATAAAATAGTTAAAATCAAAAAGGTTAAATAACCATTTTTTGAAATATTTTAAAAAAGGATCAATACTCTTTAAAAAATATTTATATAGCAAGTATAAAGATATCATTTTTACCTCTTAAAAAGAAAGTAGTTATTTCTATACATGCAAATTATTGTGATGTATTTATTTAATTTATTTGTCACAGTGCTAAATTCTAACAAAAATTATAATTTTGAAAATTACAAATGTGTTTTGAACAATTAATGTTTTATTAGAAAAATTCAAAAAAAAAATATCTTTAGAAAAATATGGAGAGTGTAGGGGCTTTCAAATTCAAAATTTCATTAAAACTTTTTAAAAATTTACGAAATTGAGTTTAGACGGATAATATATAAATGCGAGAATCATTTTTCTATTGAAAATTGTTTGACTTTGAGGGGACTCACCTTATATATAATATTGAGAAAAGACTAGGTAAAAAAAAAGAAATAAGGTTTAAAATCCATAATAAGCAGTATGATGCAATATGCAAAATTTAATATGCATTTATTTTAAAATAGATATGTACAGAGATATCTCTATTTTATAAATTTTGCAGGAATTATACGCATAAAATTAGCGCTAAAATAGTTGTTAGTTATTAACTATTCACAAATAAATACCAAGAAATTTAAATTAGGGGGAAACATTTTCCACGATATGTCAAGCACAATTAATTTGATTAATAATTTATTTCTATTTGAATTATGAACATGCACAGTAAATGGAGTTGTTAAAATACAGCGCCATTTTAAAAATATAAGTAGCCTTAGTGCACCACATTTTTGAGTCGATATTCCCAAAAATGAAAGTCGCGCGGGCAGTATATTTCAAGCCCAACATTTTAGATCGTCATTATATTATAAATAATTGAATATATTTTTTAAAAAAAATCCCTGCCGGGCCGAAATAATTTTTTTTAGAAAAGATCCGGGCGGGGCCAGGCCTTAGAATATAAAACCCTGGCCGGGCCGTGCAAATATTACCTCAGCAGATTTTTGATATTTATTACGTAACCTTATAGTAACACTGACGGGCGATTAGCCTAAATCCTTCGCCGATGCCTAATTTTTGACTAATTAGGTTTTAGGCTAAGCCATTTGGAGTCGGCTAAAATTAGCACAATACGAAACATTATGTAGTGGGATATAATTACTTATCAGCGGTAATTTTTAAATTTGAAAAATCTCACGCTTCATATTTCAGATCGGGAATCTTGGAATAGTATTATTAAATAGCTCGATATAAGCCGATTTTTAAAAAGGGCAAACTCAATATTTTAGCCAGAAAAATATTGTCTAACCTTCGAAATAATCTTGATTTAAATTAATTTTTATATAACTTATCAAAAATTGTTTAAAATTTTACTTCAAAATTTTACAGAGTATAGGTAGGTTCTATATATGGTGGAATAAATTTTCTGTTAACTCTTTTTTAAAATTTAAAAATCGTTCTCAGTATATAACTTAAAATATAACGATTTCGAATTACATTGATTCTCTATTCCAATACGACATATAATATCATATATAAAAGAAATATAAATCAGTTATAAAAATAATTTCTATTATAATGAAGTGTACATTTTTTAAAAAAAAATAAAATTTAAAAAATTTTGCATATAAATCAAATTTTCATACTTCCAAGAAATAGAAAAAAAAATTCGCTTTTAATTCTTGGATTTATTTTGTTTCAGTTTCTCCGCTTTAAAAATCCAAAATTCCTAAGATTCTCATAACCCTGTTATTAGAACCCTTCTTTTTATTTTAAAAAAAATCTCAATATTCTGTATTCTGAAATAATATGTACGTTAATTTTAAATAATATGAATAGGAATTTATGATGGTCATTAGTCGCTATAATAGCTAATTTCATTAAAATAAAATAATTTGGAGATTAGACAATAGTCTTAATGATATGTGAACAACTAATCCACTTTAGTTACCTTCTCATTCAAACAGACATTTTAGTCGGCATCAAACCCATTACCAATAAAGTAAGAATTTTTTTTGCATTTTAAAATTTAATTGAGCTAGTTATTTTAAATTCAAAGATCTGATTTTTCCGGAAATGCACAATAGGTGTATAATATACACCCTATAAATTTTAGACAATTTTATAATGAACCTTTAAAGAAATTACAATTTAAAATGAAAAACCTAGTGCGCATGTTGCGAAAACCTATTAAACTATCACCCTACCCAAAATTCTATAGTGTAAAAACATAAAATTTAGCTATAAATTTACGGACTATTTCTAAATTTAATAAAAATTATTGAAAAATAATATTATTTATTAAATATAACACATGCATATCCTATTTTACGTAGAAGGTCTATTCAGTTCTTTATGTTTAAACAATATTCATCATTTGAGAATTAGATTATTCTATATCCAGTTTTGGTCAAAAAATGGCTTTTTTTACATAAATCAATTTTTTTAAAAAAATTTGAAATGTATATAAAAAATAAATTAAATTATAGCCAATATAAGGTTAAATATTCTATTGAAATCAATAGAAACTTAATTAATAAAATTGTTCTCCTGTAAAATTACAAAAAGTGGAGATGGAATAATCTAATCGGGCGACGAATAATTCAATATTAAATGTAATGATAGAATGTTAATGAGAATTATATAAAAATTATCGAATGAATTAAAAAGGGAAAATATATATTTATTTTATAAATAATATTTAAAATTGTCTAATAAATTTTTTTAAATTTTAAGAAAAGAGACCTAATTAAAATAAATCATAATTAAAAAAAATGCATAACTTATGCTAGAACTGGATAAAAATAGTACGTTCCTTAGAAATCTAAGTTACCTGCTGTAATTTTTTCCCATGGCTTACTATATTTAGACTCCAGGGGCGATGTTTTATATATCGATGACCAAGAAAAGGGTTTTAAATCTCTTATAAGAAACAAAAATAATTATGCATTTTAGATTATTGGAGCCTCAACAACCTATTTAATATTAATGATAACGAATTTGAAAAACTACTCTTAGGAAGAAACCTCCCAAAAATTAACACATATGAAAGGGACAGAATCCAATTAAACCTTCTATTATAAGTGTTTGACTTTTGGGAAGATTATTAATCAATTTATACGGAGTATTATTTATTGGCAAAAAATTGTTCAATGTAAAGGTAATTTTATTTCTTGAGATATACCCATATTAAAATAATGTATTCAGACA